CTGAAGAACTGCGGTGATTTACAAACAGGGAGCTCCACAGTGGGAGAAATTCAGTGCAGAAATGGAATTCAAACACAATAAATAAACATAATGTGAGAAAAAGGTTTGCTGAATCCTCATCTGACGGCATCACTGCACTGAGAATATCTGCGCAACCTTGTAAAACCATGAATGGCTCAGTGACTGTTTTGAATGTGTGTATATGTATATGTAATTGAAAATTATTTGCATTTATTCAGTATAAATTAACAAATAAATGAATCCTCATTGACATCAATTTGTTGATCAAGAAATTGTGCATTGTATTTAAATTCCCATTCATTTTTTATGTTTCCGAGACACGACATCTTGCAGGGTGCTAATCAAAGCTGCTTGTGTGTCTTATTTTAAGTAATTCAATGTTACAGTTGGTCGATTCGATCAGAATTATAATTTACATTGGTGGAAAACAGGATGACTAATGCTATTGTACATTAATGGATGGTGAGTGCTTAAGCCACTAAGCCTATAAAAAGCATCAACGCCTGCAGTGTTTCTGAGGCTGCTCACAAACATCAGAGGTTGTTAATTACACCGTTTTAAACAAGGTTAGAGCACCTGTATATTGATTCATTTCATTTATAGAAAACCGGCTAAAGCTGGCTCTGTCATCCCTCCACTGCCAGCGCTGCCAACGGGAATGCAGCTTTCTATTGATTGTCAACAGGAATCAACATTCTTTGGCTTCAGACCTGCTTATGATAATAACATATGTTGCTAGAATATCTCACTCATGTAACGAGGCAGCACCACTTAACTTAAGGCTTAGTGCCACAAGTCATTTAATGAAATCAGCTGCATTGTACCACCATCACCACCCAGCCTCCCACCCTTTAGCTAATTATAATCACTAAGTTATTGCAATTGCTACATTGATGCAGAGGGATTCAGGTAATAAACATGTAAGGTTTTATCATGCAAATTATTTTACTTCATAACAAGATAAGTAGAATATCGTTTACATTTTTTTTAAAATCTTGTTGTGATAGGTTTGTAGCATTCAAGATTAAACAAATGTAAAAACAATAAACATCTTAGAGATGTATTTTTTCTGCCTTCACAGCAATGTGTTTCCAGGATTCATGTTCCATTTACACAGGTGAATTATATATTCATATAATAATATATCCAGAAAATTATAGGCATTCATTTCTTGTTCCACTAACATGTGTCACCAAGGAAATGTATTTTTCATTTCTGAAAAGATATGTAATACTGCAACAAAAGCTGTGGTGAATCACTCTGCTTGAGTCCCTGTTGCCAGTGGCTTTCTTTATGTGAGAATGTTACTTGGTGTAAAAAGTTAAATAACACTCCAGGAACTTTGCCAGCTAAACGACATCACTCAGATGCATCAATTGTTTTTTAAAAACATATTGCCGGGATCATATTATTTCCTTAACCATGAAACTTTAAACCCACGACAAGCCAGTTTGAATTGGCTCACAGCACTTTTTTCCCTCCTGATCAGAGATAGAAAAGCTTATTGGGCCGGGTTGGATTGAAACTTTTGTACTGTTTGAATCTCTCTTGTTAGGGTTACTGCTGGTGACTTGATGTAATCTTCTCAGGAAGGTTTTACACGTGCTGCAATGTGACATGCTGTCTTCCAAATAGCAATACGACATGTATTAAAATGATGTTATACTGGTTCCAAACACAAACATTATAATTTTGGGGGGATATGCAGGAGTACACTCATAGACGGATTATCGCATGAGCAAAGTGGTCGTGTGCCCAGGGCCCCAGAGCCAATAGGGGACCTTGGCCTTCAGAGTATTTGTGTTTTTTATTGGTACATTTTTAAAAAAAATATTGGAATGAATGTGGTTTTGAAATTGTGGTATGATAATAAAATTATTTGAATGTTTTAGAAATTATAAGATTAATCAGTAATGTGTGGGGTTGTGTTTATAAAAAGGAGAAGCGGGCGTTCATTGGATCAGCTAAAAGAAAACAAAGGGAAGAAAAAGAAGCGAAAGATGCCGCTTTGGTGCAGCATATTCCATCCATTCTGACTCGATTCCAACTGACAAGTTTACAGCTCCGAAAAGCGGACATAGAGCTCATGACAGCTGTGCGCCTTCTTATATCGCTGCATGATTTTGTATCAGCACAGAGAGGTCTTTTCACAGACTTTGAAAATGAAGCCTTAAGGCGTGTGCCGGACGTACAAATATGACCTCCAGCGCACCAGAGAGCGCAAACGATTTGAGGATGACAGCGCAGAAAAAGATGCGGTATTTGATGGGAAAAGCAAATAACAAATAGAAACATTCAATGTGGCTATCGATAAGTTAGTCAGCTGTCTCAGCCACAGAATTGATGCATACAAGCACCTGTGTGATCTGTTTGGATGACACTAATTTTGTGTGCGTGTTGCCTGGTGTTGTTATGTGCGTAATGGGAAGAGTGCCTCTGCGTGCGCACTGTTTGCATGTGTAGGCAGGGGCCCGTGGCGAGTTTGTGTCCAGGGCCCGTGGTCATGATAATCCGTCTATGAGTACACTGCAAGAAATGTGTTGCATCAGTGCTGCAGGTTCACCCATGCAATGTTAAAATAGAAGCACAGACAATGTTTTAGGGCCTGTCTAGTCTTCCGCCAATGTCTCGTCTTCAGATCTAGTCAGAGGTCAACACCACAGTCATTCTCCTCTCCAAGGCTTCCTGCCCCCCCTGCCCACCTACCTGAGTCCCAGCCTCACCAACCTGCTGCCCTGACAAGCTCCTCTTTCTCTCTGTCACTTGGGTGAAGAGGGATCTAGTGAAGCTGCTCACAGGCGAGGCAGCAAGTCCTCACAGCGTCAGCCTCGGGGTGCAGCTAGCTGTCAACTGTGTGGACAATGCTATCATATACCTGCAACACAGGCCTTTATTCCCACCCGCAGAGGCAAAGAAACAGGATGAGAATGATGTCCTTTGATTTCTCTGGTGCTTGCAATGCCATCCAGCCCCTCCTGCTTTGGGAGAAGCTCAAAGCATTGCAGGATCAACACGGTTTCCTGGATTACGGGACTGACTGGCTCACTGTTGGGCAGCAGTTCATCTTCTTCCAGGACAGCGTATTGAATATACTGCGAAGCAGCAACCAGCACCTCAAGTGACTTAATTTTCAGCTCTGGAGTTCACTTTCAATACCTCTCCTTTTAAGATTCAACCCTTGGTCATGGCAACTCCACACATTCTTTGATGACTCCTCTATTGTGGGTGCATAGGTTAGGGCAACAAAAGGAGAGTGTGAGGCTGCAGAGGAAGCCCTGCCAGTAGCCACAGGGGCAACCATAGGCAGGTCCACATCAGCATGACAGAGGAGCAAGAAGTGGATTTCAGGCTGACACCATCCAGAGTGAGCAGAGTAAAATGGATGGCTTCAGTGCATCCATGTGATTATTTAACAAGTTCTTCTAATCAGTGTAGACCAGCACTCATTTGTATTGGCTGAGGCAGAATTAAAAAAAAACTGCTGAGGGTAGACCAGCTGCACCGAGCAGAGGGGAGAAGATTAGAGCTGAACGGATCTCCATCTTGGCCAACACGTCCTACTTCCTGTGCGGTGGCCTGGTGCAGCTCCAGCAGCTTGATCACCCTCCGCCTCATCTACACCTGAGGTGCAACAGCAAACTGTTTAGCTGCTCATCTTTGTCAACAGCCATCAGACTGTGCAATGATTCTTGTCCAAATACCTCCAATCTCAGGCGGCACGCAGCCAGCTGAACTCTACTGCCCTGCTCTGACAGCTTGAGGTACTGAATGCACAGCAGGCACATTCACATTTGAGCCACAGATTCATGTGTCTGCTCATGTTGGTATATCATACAGGAGCAAGCAGTTACCACTGTCATTACCATCTGCAACATTATGCTGATGTGTGTAACTTGTTTGGTATGTGATGAAAATTGTGGCTTCAAATCTTTATTTGCGCACATTTTGTCTACATTTCATGTTTTCTGTGTGTAAAGCTTCTCTTCTGTGTTGGATATTTTATTTATATTTTACCGCACTGATTCTCCCCACACGTTTTTCCACAGTGACCTCATTCCAAGCATCGCTGTTTTCTCTTGACTTCAGAATATGCAACATTTTCTACCTGTGTGACATGAAGCTGAGATTAATATGACTGTACGCGATACCAAAGTCCACAGTAAATGTTTGAATACTGTGTGTGTGTGTGTGTGTGTGTGCGTGTGTGTGTGTGTGTGTGTGTGTGTGTGGAGCGGGGCCCTATTGCTAGCACCACACCTGGTCTGTTCTTATGAAATAAATAAGTCAATAGAATAAAGTAAAACCACAAAGCAGTTTAAAGATGCAACTACATAAAACACCCCAATAAGGAGATAAGGAAAAAAGGGCATGAAGACATAGAAAGAAACTGTGAATACTAAGATTAAACAGGATGTGACTGACCATAACAAGCCCCAATAAGAATACCATGGGAACAATAGTGATTAATGCCTGAATAATAGAAGCAAACGGTGATTTGAACGATAAAAACGGCCGGATGTACACTGACCCAGGCTTCCAAAACATTTCATCAAAGTGTGATGGAGAGCAGCGCTGCCCTGAAAATTAAAGTCATAATTGCATTTGTAGTACACACTCAGATCAATAAGTACACAACCGCTCCTTCTGCTGAATTTGAGAATCTCTGCTCTGTGCATCCTCAACAAGACATTAGCCAATGGGATCAATAACATTCAAGGGCAATGAGCAGGAGAGGCTTTGCGCCGACTTCTGCGTGTTAGACCACAACTTGGAAATGCCACATGCAGAATGAATAATAATCCGTCAGAAGGCGCACACGCGCGCACTCACACATGAATGCGTTTTTAAATGCTTTGTTATGACCTTTAGAAACTCTGGAGCGTGACACTTCATCGGTTCGTAGGATCGAGACTCAAGCCAGTGCTCATGGCGCACAGGGGGATAATATCCGTGCTATAATAAAACACTTGGAGACTTACTTTAAGACGGCGCTGTCCCCCTGTCTGACGGTGATGTTGTCCTTTAATACAGAATCCCCGCTCCTGGCTGGAACTCCTGCAGGTACAAGGAATAACAATTTAAGTCCGAGGACCACAAGGCTTTTCCCGGGCACCGCCAAATGGCCACAGATTCCCATGTTTTGTTTTTTTTTTTTCTGTCAATGCGCAACTTCCAGGAAAACTTGAACCGTCTGATATTCCCCCTTGTTTTTTTTTTTGCGCCTTGAGCTGCGCACCGCAAATCCCGCTCCACAAACAAAGATGCGGTGTGTGCGACGGGAACCGCGGCTTGGCTCCAAGTAAACAGGCTTGTTATGAAATACAGTCCGTGTGGATGAATGCAGGGGAGGAGGGGGGGGACGTGTCTTTCCGCCCGTCAGCCGCTCGAGGAAACTGAGTTCGGAGGAGAGAGGAGCGAAGCGCCGTGTCTCTGAGAGAAATGCGCACCGTCCCCCTGCGCCTCACACACTCCTCGCCGCGAAATGGATGCTGTGGCACAGATGCATCAGCCAAGTCTGCCTCTATCTTTTTCCTTTCTTTCCTCCCTCAGTGCTGTCTTTTCTTTTTGGTCGTGCGCACTTAAAGCAAGAGGTTATATTTGCCTCCGTATCTTTCCTTTCGTTAAGTAGGCTAATGCACAGTTCCTGAAGTACCCCCCTCCTCCTCCACTCTCTCCCTCTCTCTCGCTCTGTGTGTGTGTGTGTGTGTGTGTCTGTGTGTGTGTGTGTGTGTTATTCACCAGGTAGCATCTCTTGAACCATGAGGACCATATGGCTGCAGACACAGGGGTTTTACTGGCTTCAAAACTTGGGTCCATGCAGGGACCTCCAGTGGGTCTTTAAGGGGAGGGGGTTAACAGGGAACATTGCCATTTAGCATATATTTAATATAATACCTCACTTTTTTGGTGACCTACCCTCATGACCACTAATGTTGTCCATGTTTCTGTTCAGAAGTCAGCAATGATTTTGGTGTTTTTTCTTTTCCTTTCAATGAATTTAAACTGAATTGGCTCTTTTACTTTTCACTATGGTTCATACACATATGAACATTTACTAAACTGGTCTTATATTTGTCATGCATAAAATGTTGCTTATTTCAGAGGTCTGTTGAGCAAACAACACCTACAACCTTTCAAAATAACAGCTCTGTAATTCTGTAATTCTTTTACTTTGTAGAGAAATTGCTCCAGAGGAAGTGATTCGATGAATGTTGCTGAGATCAGCAGACTCCAACCAATCACATGTTCAAAATGATCTAGCAGGTTTGACTCCTGGGCTGTGTTGTTGACCACTCATAGAAGATTAGAAGATGTTCAACTTGCTCCACAGACTGACTGTTGAGCCCCGCCCCTACTGACTGCATTGCTTTGGACCCTGCACTTCCTTGGGCAATTCATAATAAACATGCAAAGTGTGAACCTGAGAAGTTCATATAGCTCATAAAGATGGACAGACATTTGTTGGAATTAGTAGGTAGATTTCATCCTACACTGAGCACCCATGCAAAACACAAGATCATCACTGCTGGGTTAGTTTTCACTGGTGTAAGTCTGCACGACACACAGATGGTCGGAGTTGTGAAGAGAATATTCAGGGAGGCTAGAGGTTAGTACATAAATTGAATCATTCTTTAATATCTCAATAATAGAATTGACTTTTAATAACAGCATGCATAGGAGACTTGAAACACGGTAATTGTTGATGGGCTAGAAGTCCAAAGGACAGTCCTTTTCAATTTGAGACTCCTGTGTGCATTTCTTTGGCGACATGAAACATGTCAAGGACTTACAGTGAACTGAATCAAGTTGCTTTTGTGTGAACTGAACTGCAGGACAACTATTCATCATCAAGGCTGGAGTATGGCACCAGAGGGAACAAGATAAAAGTTGCATGGAAGCTCCATCAACATTTGTTTAATTACACATAAATCCTGAATGTAGACCTATGGAGTGGGTGGTGCCATATAGCTCCATGCCTGAAAAGACCTGCATTCATGTCTTTAATTAAAAACTGCATTACCAGTTTGTAGACTTAAAAAGGCAGAAGCTGAACTCTTTGTCGTTTTTCTTGTCGACTGCTCTATCCCTGTGCCTTGTTGTTGTCAAAGTTCAACATAACTATTTCCAACTCTTTTGAAAGGCTCCTGGGTGTCCTTGAGCCTTGTGTTTGAAAAGTGTCATGTTTTTTATACAAATGCAGTTGGTGGATGATTGGTTATTTTTTCAGAATGTTTCAGTGCATGTGCTTGATGATTGGGTTGGGTAGGAGAGGAGATAACTTTGAAAGAACTTCACCGTACCACATTTGCTTTGTTTTGTGATGTGCTCCCGCACTGCTTCTCCCCATCCGTATCTGTATGCATGGAGGAGATGCCGGCTACTCGCGACGAGAGTGGCACTTTGCTTCACGGCTAACAGCAGCACTCAGAATTTCCATGACAGCTTCTGAGACTCGTTTGAAGATTGAGTAGGATAATTTCTTTACCTTAACGTCAGTTTGGCAAGCTGTTACGTTTTTGGACAGCAGGGAACGAATGACAAAGCTCTGACAGCTTTTGGAAAGATACAAGTAGACACATGGCATTGTTCTTGGCTGGTATCAAATGTTTGTGCAAGTGTGAAAGTATTGATGGCCCGTGTTCGTAGGCGACAGTCTGCATTCTGTTGTGTGTTCATCAATCTTTACTCACGCACAACTGACTTCACAATAAACGCCTTTGTCTTTAGGATAGAAACACTAAGTGCACTTAAACCCTCAGTGACATAAAGACAGTGGTGTGATGCTTTCTCTTGAATGTATTGAATCTATTTGCTGCAACAGTAGGACCTGAGTTAACATAAAAAATAAAACATATAATGCACACTTTCTGTGGGTATTTGCCACTTGAAGCAGCTGAACACATCATGCCCCTGGTAAAAATTCTAGAAGAGATGACAATTTAGGCAATAACCTGGGATAAACACTTGATATTAGAAATCAGAAGCCCATTCCATTTACCAAAGTGTTGTTCAGTTTATTTGTAGGCTGTTATTGTGGAATTATAATGATGTCCTCTGCTGGTAAAATTGGGCAAAGATAAGACTTAATTAAAATTATATCTGCCTGGGAAACAACACAAGTCCTGACTATGTGCACATTTTAATGGTTTTTAAATTAAAACCCCTCCCTGACCTCAGCAAAATCTAAGATATGTGGTCTTAATTAGAGTCGAGGGTAAAGGGAATGGGGGCGGGCTGAGGCTCTTGTTCACATTTACCCCCTCAGTCAATTAGAGCTGCAACATTTGGTCACACGACATCATTCACCACCTTGGTGGCTTCTGCTGTCGATGTTCCTCGAGCATAAAGAGGCTTCGATAACAACGCCATCAGGAGAAATCAGGAAGGAGTCCAAGGGATGTTCAGCTGTTTTCGGCAATCAGCTCTAAGAGCTGGTGTTCTGAGGGTAAAATAAGATCGCAATCCATTTCATTCCATGTCGTGTACATTATGTTTTTGACCCCCATTGTTCTACTTTACACCAGGTGAGCACATCCGATGACCTTGCCAGAGCTCCACCTCGAGCGGGGGTGCCAAGCATGCAGAAATGACAAATTGGAATGCCATTGTTTGTTGCACACTCCACATGAATCATTCTTGATGTATCACACAAACGGTGACAGAGGCAGAGGAAAAGGGGGGAAAAGCGTAAACTGTGCAGCCTAAATCAACTAGCCATGGTCTGAAATATGGGGTGGAGGTATTGATTTTTAACATGCTCAAACGAACAAAGCCATTTCACTTTAAATGAACATCTTTTTGATTGGGTTCAGTAACATACAGTCCAGCTCTTCCTGTTAGATTGTGTTTCTCATTTATTTCACTTATACATGCAATGACATTCACATAATTTCCTGCAGCGACGCATCAACACAAGACCCTGGGTGGTTTATTCAAACAATCCCCACTAATCTTTATTCATATCATGCAAGGATGGGCAGAGCTCACAGACAATGGACCGGCGTCTGACCAAAGCAAGCTGATACCCAAACATGGGTGGACTGAATAAAGAGCGCTCACTCTGTGGACTCGGTCATGTGCAGAAGCTAAGATTCTACTGACACACTAATGTTAAAGCAACTTTTATAACAGTCACAGGATAATGAAAATAACAGTGATAAAATGCCAGAGGCTATAAGAACATTTTTAGAAAATAAAATTGTACTGTGTCACACAGCTCCACCACCACCACCCTATTTCTCACATCTCTTTAAGACCTGGAATAACACACACACACACACACACACACACACACACACAATCCTTCCTGGAGGCAACACTTATTCATGCATTTTGTAGTGTGATTTACCAAAATTCAAATAGACTTATCTCTCTTTTTTCATCAGAAAGTAGCCTATATACTGTCATTTTTCTCATTGTATGTTTTATGTGCAATACATTTCACAGTAATTATTCTCACACTGTACATATTCTGTTTACACTGTATATATAAGTTTTATTCCATTTATATTTTTCTGTATATTTTATATTCCCTTATTTATTACTTGACAGAAAAGACGAGAGATGCAACAAGTAATAATAATTGTTCTTTTTAACATTGTGAAAATACAGACAAGTCACTTTGGTAATTATTGTTTAACAGTAGCCTTTCATTGTTCCAATTTTATAGTGTACTACTATAAAATTTACTTACCTATATTTTATTTTATTTGCATTAATATAATAATATGTTTGCTTTTCTGTTCATTCATAAGCAAAACAATTGTGTCTTTTTAAACACGTCCAAATTGACAAACACTGAAGTTTAAAGTGCAACAAAAATGTTTTTGAAGACCACAGTTGGATTTTTTTTCTTTCCAGCAACCAAATAGCTAATAGCATGGTTAAATAGCAAATGTAAGCTACCTGCACCTATGGGTCAGATGGTCCTAATAGGAGGTGTGGTCAGGTGGATTGTTGGTGCATCGTTATCTTGAGGAAAGAGGACGTGACTCCAGATTGATGCATAAACCTGGTCTGGACTCAGTGGTTTAGGATTTCACATTCACCATTTGAAGGATGCATTATCAAGATAGTAATATGCACCTACGCAGGCAAGTGCACACCAAGGATCTGCTCTTGCAAAGTTGCCTCTTGACAGGGAGTCCTTTTGTACTACCTGGCAAATTCACCCTTCTATCACCAGTCCACACAGGTGCAAGTGCATGTGGCCTTAAAGTGAAACAGCAGATGGCACTATGAGTAAACTACCTTTTTCAAACATGACCCTAACTGTACAAGCTGCGACTAACACTGATAATCAGAAATGAATACAAGTTTTTCATATTGAAGAACATGTGTTTAGTTTGTCTTGCACAATAAACTGACTGTGCTTTCTCTTGTAGAGCAGCTGTAGGGGCAGTTTCTCATGAAGTGTCTTTTCATAGGATTTAGTGATTTCTAATATTTTGTTGGCATCAACCCAACCAGTCGCTCCAAGACTGCAAAGTTGGTCAACCAAAGAAATGGGAAGGTGAAGAAGAACTCAGTCGTCATGTCTCTTCCCCCTCAGTCGATAAATTGACTCTAAATGGCTTTCGGTTACTGAA